TCTAAACTTGCTGCCGATCATGTCGCTGCGGAAAATATAAAATTCGATATGTATATGATTTTCGGCCATTTCCATCGCCTCCATCATACTGGGGAAAGTCTCATCGTGGAAACATGCCTGATCGCGATAATGGCTTCAATCAAGATCGCCGAGGTGGTGACCGTGGGTTCAATCAGGACCAACGCGGTCGACGTGACTCCAACCGCGACAACCGACGCCCACAGTACGGACCATGCGCGGTGTGCGGTGGCATGAGTCACTCCGCCCACTACTGCAACAAGCGATGCAAGTTCTGCAAGCAGCTCCACGATGCTGGACAATGCGAACTTTTCCGCAACTTCCAAGACCTTGCCAAATTCGTGCGCACTAAAGGCACGAAGGAGGAACTCCCGCCAGAGCTCAAGGCCGTCGTTCAAGAACGTCATTTAAACTAGGCAGCCCGCCAACTACAACTGGGTTGGTCCCTATCGGGCTACCACAGCTAACCGAGCCTTCAATGGAAGCAGAGTGTATCTTTGCTTTCATGGGGCAGAGTGAATGGCCTTATAATTACGTAACAAGTGTGAACGCGACGGAAAATGAAAAGGAGAGGAGTAGAATCCTCGGTGGAGGTGTTGGAGAGAGAGTGGAGTGTGCTGATGCTGATGAGGGCACCAGCGAGGGTTCGCTCGGCTTGGTTTCGAGTGCAGCGCGAGACGAGCCCAAGGGTCACTCCAAGATGATGAAGTTGAACCCTGGCGAGAGACAGGGGTGGTGGTCGGCCAAGAAATTCGACCGACGGATCAGAATGAGAGCTCTGGTGCAAGGCGCTGTGAACGACCAGCGAACGAGGATCCTCCTCGACACAGGAGCGAACGTTAGTGTGATCACTGACGCCTTTGCCAAGAAGTTGCGACTCCGAGATGTACCTGATCACGGACGCCGCATTGACATTCAAGGAATCAACGAAGGCAAGGTGTCTACGACGCGACGAGCGTGCGTCAAGATTACGCTCGGATGGGAGATGGTGTACGAGTTTGAGATGTGGGTAATGGCGCATAGTGCAGGCGTCGACGTGGTACTCGGGACCGACTTTATGATCCCAGCTGGGATCCGGTTGGACCTCTTCCACGGCGCGGCGCAATTACCGCACGAAGTCCAAATCCCGCTGATAAAGACCAAGAACATGATCGACAGCGAAGAATACGGCTCCCATGTTAACGCCGGGCCACCCGAGCGGTTGGATATTCAAGCGCACGAGTGGCGAGAATATCGACTAGCGAAGCGTCAAGTCGGGCTGGAAGAACACGTACTGTGGGTTCGTCGAACGAACAAGCTAATCCCGTCAGTGACGAGGTTTCGACGTGGACGGCCTCAGAGCATTCGATTGACCAACGTGTCCGATCGAGCTGTGTACCTACCAGCACACGACTCGATCGCGATGTGGATTCCAGATGGGGATTTGCCACGAGGTGACGGCTATGTGCGTCTGGAGTCCAAGAAGTACCAAGACTGGCAAGTGTTGGCCTACGAAGGCTGTAGAGACCGCGAGCTCTTTCAGCGTGAATGCGAAATCTACGAACAATGGCTTGCAACTCAGCCTTCAGCAGTTGATCGACCATACTACCCAGAACCCGGTGGGGTGCTAGCACGACCTCTAGAAGACTCGCTAGTGGATTCTAGTGTTCGTCTGACATGTGCAGAGCGCTGGGCACTGATCCTGGAAGAGCGTGAACAAGTGGAAGCCTGTCTGGCGTCTGGGGTGACAGCCGGGGATTTGGCCGACGGTCAGCCTTCCGCAGAACGTTTGGACACTTACACGACAACCCATGGCGGAAGCAATAACGCGAACGAAGCCTCGGTAGTGCGTACACACGGACTACTGAGGCCGGTAAACGTGGTACATACGCCAACGAGTGTTAGTGTCCAGTCAGGGGTGACCACGGAAGCGACAAGTCACGGCACTGGATTGAATGGAGTCACCCGTTTTGACGAAGCTGTCCCGGCCTTGTGTGTCACCAAATCTGCGAACGAGCCACCGGTGGTTGATCCAGAGGATACAGGCATCGCGCAGAAGGTGTTGAGTACGGCACCGAGTATTCATTGCAAGATTGGTGCGAATTCCGAAATGTCAAGACAGCGGCAGAACGAGGAGCGGAACAAAAGTCAACAACCCAATATGTCGACGGCCCACGCATTCAATATTGCGAGCGACGACTCGGCAGGTGGCCCAGAGATGGGAAACCAGGATGGGAAGGAGATGGACCAAGTACCGACTGTTGAAATCGAAACGGATGGCAATGTTGAGTCGAGGGAAGAATCCATAGCGGCGTTGGACGGAACATACATCTCGGTTGCTTGAGTGTTAACAACCGAGGGAAATGAAGCAACGGAGGATACGAGAAATGATTTCTACGAACACCCAGCTAACAACATTGGCTTGGACGACTACGCGAAGGAGCTGGCATTCCTGCCGGATCTGACCGAAGAGATCAACACGACAATTGACTACACTGCGCCTAATGTTGCTGATCCTGAGCTGTCGACTGAACGCCGAGAACGTCTAGTCGCGACGCTAAAGAACCACGAGCACATCCGGATTGCTAGTGGTAACGCACTGCCGCCGCCAGCCTACGGAGCGGTATGCGATATCGACACACAGGGGCACGCCCCAATTAAACAGCGTGCCCGACGCGTGCCGCTGCGATTTCTCGGAAACTGTACGAGCTGCTGCGCGCTTTATTGCGTGCAGGACTGATCGTCTTTTCAGACAGTCCATGGGCATCGCCGATCGTGATTGTGATGAAAAAGAACGGGCTGGACATCCGGCTCTGCATTGATTACAAGATGGTGAATGCTATCACCGCGATCATGGAATATGCAATGCCGCTAGTCGACGACCTTTTAACAGATCTCGAGCGCTACCTATGGTTCTGCTCGCTGGATGCAGCAAGCGGCTTCTGGGCTGTCATGATGACCTTGCGAGCGCGTAAAGTATCGGCGTTCGTCTGCGCACTCGGACATTTCGAGTGGTTACGCATGCCCTTCGGGCTAAAGAGCGCGCCGATGATCTATCAGCGTATGATTGACAACGCACTCTGGGGGTTCGTTCAGCCTAAAGGAGGTTGGTTTGAATACTCGGAGAAGATGCGTTTAGCTGAAGAACAGGCCAAGGAACGTCGTGGGCCAAGCGCCGAGGGTTCGTTTCAAACGAAGTTCGCGGCAGACTGCGAAACACCGGTAGAAACCGACCCTGTACTACAACTCGTCAACAGCCCCGTCGCTGACATGTTTACGAACGGGGAGCCAGACGAATCATCGCTGGTACCTGTATTTGGTCGACGGTCGTTTGTGGATGACATTTGCTTCGGTGGCGAGGATTTCGACAGCTGCCTGGCGACGCAGGACCGATTGCTAGCAAGATTCGCACAGTGTCGGATCAGCATTAGCTTCACCAAGAGCATCTTTTGCCAACCCAAGGTGGACTTTTTGTCGCATAAAATTTCGCCAGAAGGTATCAGAGCTGACCCCAAGAAGCTTGCGGCCATCACCGAGCTTTCGTTTCCAACGAGCAAGAAGGGCATGCAGTCGTTTCTTGGAGCGGTTAATTACTACAGCCGCTTCATTCAAGACTTCGCGGTCTACGGTGCGGCGCTGTACCAGCTCAAGGATGAAGACTTTGTCGTTGAAGGTGGCCTTTCTGTGGCACGTCATTCCTTCGAAAGATTGAAGACGAGTGTTTCACATTCACCCATCCTCAGACACTTCGATCGGTCGAAAGAAGTTCACGTCATGCTCTTTGCGAATGAATGGGCGTTGAGCACTACGCTAATGCAAGAACATGAAGGCAAGTTACACCCCGTACGGCTCCTCGGTCGGGTGCTTAAGGAAGCCGAGATGAACTACCATCCAGCTGAGAAGGAAGTTTTGGCGTTACTTCTGCTGTTGAAGATCTGTTACGTCCAGCTGGCAGGAAAGACGCTACATGTCTATACACGATTCTCGACGTTAGAGTGGGTGCATAAGTCGAAGTCTCTCTTCGGACGCGCGGTCCAGTTCGCAGTGCTGCTATCGCAGTGGCACCTTAAGGTGCAGCGCGTGAAGGAGAAGGATGTCGCCTTTGCGCAGCTACTGCAGTCAAGCATCACGAGCTTCGTTGACCTGGAAGACTCGCTCGCGCCGGTGGCGCCTCCAAACAAGGGTTCCCCGACTATTCGAATGGACCCCGCGTTGCTGTACGCCAGGCTTTCCCGTAATTACAGCGGATTCGTCATGTCTTTTGACGGATCAGCGAAGACAGAGAAGTACGGTGGCTACGGGAGTTGTTCATGGGTGCTGTGGAGCCTTCCTGAGTGGAAGATAGTGATTGCTGCAAACGCTTACCTCTCGGCTACCACGGTGAATGAGGCAGAGTATACAGGTATGATAAACGGTGTCAAGGCTGCTATTGCGCACGGTGCCGAGGATTTAGTCATCGTTGGTGACTCAAGGCTCGCGATTCAACAATCACTAGGGGTGATCGCATGCAGGAAGGAAACTTTGCTAGCGCTGCTGAATACTCACAAGGAACTCACGGCCAAGCTTCGATCAGTTAACTATCTTCACGTTGTACGAGAATACAACGCGGCCGCGGATTCGTTAGCCACTGAAGCGCTGGAATCGAAGGTCAGTCGGGTAATCTTGGCTGAAACTCGCAAGTCGGAATTGGCATCGCTGAACCGCATCCAGGAAATGATCTACGAGCCGGATGAAGACT